CGTGTTATTATTCATTTTCGTACGTGGTTATATGCGGCTTGCTAAAAGGCAGAAACTCGACAATAGACAGAGAAATCGGTGCGTGCAAAAATAGTACAAAATTTATAGCCCCCAACAAAAAAAATCCTTTTTTCTTTCCGAATTGAGTACCGAAATACTACATCAAGATAACAAAAAAAGGGGAGAGGGATATTGTCAGTTGTAGCCCTGGCCTCACCGCTTCTCCATGGTCAATCGCCTCTCCAGAAAGGCGATTATCCTTTTCCTCGCACGTCTATCTTCCTCCATGGTGTGTTTCTCTTCCTCCCAGTGTTCCTTCCCCTCCTTCAACAATTGACATTCAAACTCGAACTTCAAGGCCTGGATGGTCGTTCCTGAAGTTCGCTTTCGAGGTTGGCGACTTCCCTCTCAAGTTTGGTAATTTTCCTTTCGGCCCTTCGCAGTTCGAAGCGTGAGGGAGGCGCGACGTATCGTCGCCGTCAACTGGAGGAAGGTTCCTCAGCAATCGGGGAGGGAACCAGGGGGTTTGGAGGAACAGAGGTGGGGAAGACGAAGAAGAAGAAGAGTATCTTGAATGATCGGAAGAGATCTCCATGAAAGAGACAAGAGGATCGTTCACCTCCACAGATGTTTTCTCTAAACGATGAAAAGAGGAAGTGAAGATTTAATGAAAATGTAAGAGAGGCGAAAACATTTAAATTGACTAACTTGGTTATCGAAGCATCAATTGAAATGAAATGGCTGAACATGTATACATGCGTCAAATCAAAATGATGAGAGAGAGTAGTAAATCAGATTTTAAATTTAATTTGATTTGAAGGAAAAGGTGTCGTCATTTATGGGCGATTACATTTCGAATATATGATAAAAATCTACGAAAAGGTTGTGGGTCGGAATTGACTAGGTCGGTAGACTCAACAACTTCATTAGTCTCGCTTATCACTGAATCAGTAGGCGTGAGATTAATTCTTTTGGCTTCGGCCTAAGATTGAAGTTTGTCATTTCTCACCACAGAAGGAGCGTGCTCTATAACAACTTGACAAAGTTCAACAATTTGATCTATTAATTTCTTCATGGCGCCCTCCCTGTCTTGATCAAACATGGAGTCCAGCTGGTCARAATCGACTTCTTGAGCCAAGCTCTTCAGCCATTGAACCGCATAATTAAACCGCTAAATCCCTCTCAAGTTCCTTAAAATCTAGAAATTGAGACATGATTGTAAAGTAGATTGAAGTCACCCAGTTGAGCTTCAGCATTGGCAAGTCTGGATTCAGCATCTGCTAGCTTGGATACTGACTTGGCAACCATCTTCTCAGATTCACGAAATTTGGACTCAATTTCGGCCATACTTGATTCAGATTGTCCGAGCTTAGATCTAGCCAGACTCAATTTGTCTGAACTTAGTTTTGACTTCGCCTAGTTCGGACTCAACTTGAGATCTCTTGTTAGTCTCAAGTTTCAAAAAGCTGTCTGATAAGGTCTTCAGTTCGGCAAGGTCGTTCTTCAACTGTTCATTTAAGGATTTGAACATGGCGACCTTAGCTTTCATCTCAGAACTTTCAGACAGCAAGCAGAGATTTTCTTCTTCCAACTTAGTTTGTTCTACTTTATATTTATTATTTTCGATGATGCATTTCTCCAATGCCACGAGCACTGCAAGAGATTCTTGCTTCAGCTTAACTAGTATCTCCTGCTCCTTCTTGAGCTTTCCAAAAGCAAGTTGTACTCTACTAATTGAGCAGAGCATGCTTCAGCTTGTTTGGTAGCTTTTGCGAGATTGATTCTGTTCTTTCTCCCAACAGTATCGCGCTGAGAAAGTTCAATCCCAATGGAAGCCATTTCGCGACACAAAAGAGCCAAATCCTGAAAGCGACACAACGTTAAAAGAATTAAATAAGAAAAATAAGAGCAGGGATTTGCAATGTGTGTGGCAGCATCCATGAAGAGCTCGTTGGATGATTAAGGGTTGATACTATGAGCATGTTTCTCTAGATCTTTGGAGAAGTAGGGGCAAAGCTTGTCCGTGAGAGATAGGATGTCTTCCCCGCACACGTTCGACAGAAAGGGAGGAAAATCAGGTGAAAAATTAGGAGGAGAGCTAGAGACTTCGAAGGAGGTCTCCTTGGCGCTCGAGGGGCCAATAGAAAAGTCACGTTAAATTTGTCAGCCAAGGTGAGTGGGACTGGACCTCGTCGAGGTCTTGAAGAGATATCCTAGGACTGTCCCCTAAGGTATCAAATTCAAACTCCATCCCTCTGGGGGATGGAAGGTTAACATCGTGAATAATAGGGGGAGGTGAATAATAGGGGGAGGAGGGGTTTCCACACAAGCATCTGGAAGTTCTCCAGGAAAGGGATTTTAAAAAATTGGAGCGGTATGAATGTCTTCATTGCGCAATCTTTTCCTCAGGAATTGAGCCCCGTCATCTTCACTCTGATCAGAGTATTCAGTGGAAGTAACTAGGTTATCTACATCGAAAGCATGAACGTTTGTGCTCCTTGTGTCGTTTTCAACAGAAGAAGCTAACTTCCTCTTAGCCACTTTCTTCGGATCGAAAGAGCTCGGTAGTGGAGGTCGCTCCTATTTGGACTTCGGTGGCCTAGTCTCAACTGTRGGTTGGGGCTGTGGGGCGTCATTATCCTTGTTGGCGTCTCTCTGGTTGTTTTCAGGCTGCAAAGAACTCACAGGCCTTGTACCTTTCTCAACCGAACTAGTCATTCCACCTCCAAGGGGAACGTCGCGGTGGCGACTACTTTGAATCTGGAAGATCGAGGATTCATTTCTTCTACATTCCAGATAAAAGTTTGTCAACGGATCGACTTTTCTAGGACAAATCAAGTAAAAAAGAGGAAGGAGAAAATTTAACCTTCGATAAGTTCGGCAGCAAGACCGCAACTTCTCAGGTTTTGTTGGTCAGGAGGTCGGGACTGTAACGATCTCTGACTGACAGAACTGCACAGCCAACCAAAACCGATCTGGTTTCTTTAGTCAATTCTGGTGGAGGGTCGATTAAAGCTACAAAATTCAAAATAATGCAATTAGTACAATGAGCATGTAATCACTTCGGAGAAGAAGATGAGATTTAAGAGCTTACTCATCCTAGCAAACTCCATGGGAACTTCATAATAAGGAGCCCCCTTGCTGGTGGTCATTAACTAGTTACCCGAGACATAAAACCATCTATGTTTCTAATTCTTTATGGAGGTGGGACCAATGACAATCGAAGAAAAACTCTTCTCTATTACTGGTCCATTGACTAACTTCGCGACACCAGGAAAACAACTTAAGTAAAATCGACCAGAGGCCTTTGAAGATTTATTTATGGTGTGGTCGGCTAGCATTTGTTCAACAGATAAAATGCAGGTTCTGTCCTCACAGAATCTCCACCACAGATACCAAAACCCCATTAAAGTACCCAAACCGTTGGGTGTTAACTGGGCAGAAGCCAAATTGACAGCATTAAGGAAAAATTGAACAAAAGGATGTAAGGGCAACCTAATCCCGTATTCGAACATTTGGGGGTAAAAACTAACGCAGTCTAATGGCGGTTTATTGATTGTTTCACCTGCTACAGGAATTCTCAATTCAACATCATTAGTAATTGAGTAGTTATACCTAAGGATTCCTAGTAACTCCTTAGCGTAGTTCAAATGCGAATAGTCGGAGCACTCACCATTGTTTTCAGGCGATTCATTCGGCTTACGCCGACAGGAATTTCTACTTTTGACTGGTGGGTTATCTAGAGGTGCTTGAGAAGACGAAGGCCATGGGAACTAGTGTCAAACGACTTGGTCCTAGCCATCTATTGAACAGAAATGCAGAAAGAAGTAAAGGAGATTGAATTTGGGTATGAGAGTTACCTAGTGCAGAGTAGACAAAGGAGACGACCAACTTCTCTGATTCGTAGTAATTGGGGGAGAGATTCCTTGCCCTAAGCATTCTATATGATTGCTAAGAAATGAGAACTTAGTGAAAATGCACACTGGCGAAGTATAAATACCTGATGGAAGAAAGCACCAGTTTGAAAGAATGGGGGAAAATAAGTTCAAGTTTTTAGCGATGCAAGACAAATTGGTCGCTACTTAAAGAATTTCAAATTAAACTCCTCGAATTTTCTTGAAGTAGGGGCTATTGATCAACTTTTGATTTTTCCGACACGTCACTAGTGATTCAAATAAAAGGAAAGATGTGTGAAGACGACACCAGTTCGAACGAATGTCGAATTGGGCACCTATTATACCGAACTTGATTAAATGACCCAGACACGTGGCGATTCAACTAATTTCTCCCAACTATACGTGCGGTTACCTGCTTTTACAGGTTGAAAACCATAAATTCAAATGGGAAACTTCCCTTATACCAATGGTTACTTTTGGTCTTCTATAAATAACCATAGTGTGGGAGTGTGGGGTATGTAAAACTTATTCTTTATTTGATATTTGTTTCTCTAAGCACACGATATACTGACAAAACCTTCGGAGTGCTAACTCCTTTTTGCAAGTTTTATTATCTTGAAATGTTCTCGAAGATTTATTGTGACTATCAGAATATTTTTCAGTACAAACAACTATACAATATCAAATAATATCAAATAATTTTGACTATGTATCACAATCACAATTTAATTTGTTATACCTTCTATTAGCCCTAAATTCAATCTTGAAGAATGCCAACATCTGTTCTCCCTAAAACTAAGAAGTCTAGGTTGGTTGATTTTTTGACCCAAGTTATAAGACATTTGCATCACTAGAACCCTCAAACCCATTTCTTATGTCACTACAAAAGAAACAAAAACAAAAGTAATTAAAGATTTAATATATCAACGTCGGTAAAGGTATTGCTGTCATAATTTTACAGAAATGCCGATAGAAAGACGTTTCATGGTTATTCGAAAAACGAATAGACCTTTATATCAACATTGAACCCTTCAATGTATTTTGAAGGGAGAGGAAATGTAAGTGCAATAATAAGTAAAGAAAGAGAGAGAGAAAGAGAGAGAGTAGAGAAGCAAACACAATGAGCAGGTTTGCATTATACAAGGCAAGGGAAGGGACAAGGCAAATTGAGTCACCAACTTCCTTCCCCATTGGTTTTAACATATTACTTAAAATAATAATCGTTAATGAATCCCTAAAGGAAAGAGGAGATTAAAAAGCTGAATCAAATCTTTCCTTGCTTAAAAATACATTCGAAAGTAAACTCTTAGTTCTGGAACCATCACATTTCTGTATGCAATGGATTTGACAGCCCCACTAAAAACCCTGCCATCAACAAACACCATTGCATTCTTTTCTTTTGCCTATGATTAGACACACCCCCCCTCACTGTATTCCATTCAGTTGAAATGTTTGGTTTTCAAGTCATATTCACACTCACCGGCTTCCCCCGCCCCATGGCGAACCCTCTTGTCCCATCTGGCATGCGAGGCCCCGGTGGTGGCGGCTGCTGCTTTGCCTGCTCGATGCTAGTAGAACTACTTGAAGGTGGAGTTCCCACATGGTTATTATGATGGTACTGCGATCGACCACGTCCTTTACTGCGTACCCTGCTTCGGACCCTTCTCTGCCCACCAGCATCCTTTTCATTTCCCTGCTCCTCTCGCTGCAACAAAGTAGCAGTAAAAAGAATGAAATTGTTTTTTCAGAATACAACAAAGTGAATATAATATGCCTCTATTTCTCGAGAAGTAAAGTGTCGATTGTAAGTCATTTTCTTTGGTAGGAGGGGGGTAAATCAAAAGTTGGACAAGAACGAGTATAGCAACAAAGCATAACTTTTCATTTTTTTCCCCATACGAATCTGGATCTACCAACATTAGCAAACTGGAGTAACTTCTTTTCATTTGCTGCACCCTTCTGTATAAAAACTTCGGTTAACTTTGATTATTAGTTGGCATGATTTTCTACTTCCACCATTGAGCAATTATAAATTTCAGTTATTTGGAGGAAAGTAACAGCTGCACTTTTTTTGGAGGCTTAGCAGAGCAGAAAATGGCGCAGTTTTAAATTGATAGAAATTGGGAATATTGCTTCTGTCAGTGCACCTATCTCGGTCTTTTCGTAACTATCCTCTTATTTTTATTTTGGCTTGGTGTGTTCAGGCCACCTACTACACATGGTTCTTCACTACTAAACCAAACCCTTCCAAATCACATAACTACTGTGTGACATTGAGTCAAGTATTAGCCAATCCTACGACATTTCTTAGAGATTGACCTCTACTTGGCAGTTGCATATTTGAGTTGAGTGCCCCATTCAGATATAGGGTCACATTTTAAGTCATACCGTGACCAGCCTACTTGACTCAGGTAGAGTAGTTTTGCTCGAGTAGACCTTATCCCCATTAGCAAGCTGCTCTTCAGCTAGAAAGCTATTTTCATCAGCTCCAGTCCATCTCGAGCTCTTCCTTCAGAGTCTTCTTTACCACAACTCCTCAATTCATGAAGGTCTCCTACTTACGTCAAAGTGCCAAAGACTTTGAGGCGAAGAAAAGTAAGTTCAAGCTTAGGAGCAAAAGAAAAAGGTGTCAAGAAGAAATAAGGAAGAAAAAGGAAGGTTGATAAGTCTTTCTTCGGATAAGGACCACCCTGAGGAAAAACATCACTTGGATATGTTCAAAAGAACCTTCTCAAATTAATTGTAAAATATAGAAAGAATACAAATTCTCCATGCCCTTCGACCAAAACACTACTAACCAATGGACTGCTTCCTACTCTTGCAGTCTTGCCTCCCAGTAACAGATGACTATTCTATCTGTTCTTACAAAATGGGCCCCAACCTGTACAGACTTGGACACATCAAGCATTCCTTTTATTTGCTGTATAACTAACTCAACTAATAAGGCCTACTACCTTTGCCTTGGCATATGTATACCGAATTGGAGGCCGCTTCCAAGTAGCTTCTTCAACTGATTGTCCTTCCCACATAAGCAACAACCCCCAAGTTATTGCAAGTAGATCGTGATTCACATCTTGACATTCTAACATAAAGGTAGGGAAGTAGGGTGGAGGTAATTGTCATGAGCCAACTTTAGCCGAGAGACATGAATCGCTTAATGGATTTATGTTGTGGGGGTAACTCGTGTATGTAAGCAACAACTTTCCTCGCTCAAAGAAAAGACATGGCCCATAAAATCTGGGGGCAAGTTTCCCATACTTCTTGTAGCCATTTAACAAAACTTTTTTTTTTTTTGGGGATAAGAAACTTCATGAAAACCATCATTGCTTACCATACTTTATCTGTGCTTACCATCATTCACTTTCGTTATCTATTGAGCACGAATGAGCAATTTGAGATCATCCAACATGGTCTCACAGTCACGTAGATACTAATCCACAGTAGCCCTTGGAGATGAGACTAAAGTATAACTTCACAGAGGTGGTGGAGGTCTTCTGTACAACCACTACAGTGTAGTGTACGGCTTCCCAAGGTTTCCTTGAGCTTTATCGTACCTCAATAAGTGATCCCCACTACAGAACTAAGAAACAAAGAAACTACTTCTTGGTCCCATTCTTGTTTAACCTCTCTATACAGTTGGAATTTCATTTAGCGAAGGTAAGGAAGGAAGAGAGTATGCTTTTGTGAATTGAGGTAGGTTTGAGAGAGAAGGTGGAGCTATAATCCTCCGAGTTTGTAATCTCTTTGTTGATAAATTATCCCGAGTTCTATCATCTTCTCCCAACAATTCTTCCACCACCATATCTTTATCAGTTTCTTTCTTTTTCTTTTCTTTATTTATTTTTTTTTTCTGTAAACTGAGCCATAATAGCCCCACCCCATTAATCCCCAAGGAAACTCACCTACCCCGAGGTCAGCTCTGATAGTTCCCCTAATCTCGAGCACCTCTAGTACCTATTGTTTGAACTTAAGACCTTTGAGGTGTTTGCAGATTCCAAGTGCTTACCAACAAGTCCACCTAGAGACACCATATCTTTCTTGGTTGACACTACAAGTAGCCTTGGAAAGCTTGACTTGAGTAGTAGCTCTCCTCAGTCAAATCTCCGAGATAATGGCTTTCACTCCATTATGATTAGACTATAATAAATGTAATCTAGGAGACAAAGGACCGATACATCAGATATTGCTCTTGGAGTCATTTGAGAATACCCAATCAATTTTTCTATTGTAAACTAGCTTCATTCGCTCAGCCATAAATGCTTGGAGTTACTTTGTCCACTGTTTCGTTAAAGAATCTTCCCAACCTTGGTTACCAAAGTCTCCATTCTCCTTCTCAAGTTCCCGTTCCTGCTTCCATTATCATTGTATGGAGCCAAGTAATTTTTTTTTTAGATAAGAAACTTGCTTGTATTAAGCTGACAAAAAAGGAACAACCTAATGGCTCGGGTAGAGGGAACCCCACCCAAGGAGCTACAACAATGCTTTCCAATTGTTCATGACCATGGAAAGGTTGTAGTTACAAAAGCATTTCCTATAATTAATGCACCACCATGAAGTAGTATACTGTACGTTCCTACAAAAAATGTTAAAAGAAGAAAACTTATCCTTAAAAACGCAGGAATTTCTTTGGTGCCAAAGGAGGGCTCTTGAAGCGCAATTCCACAAAAACTTAGCCTTCCTAGGGAGTATTATACATTGTTATGAGCCAAGTAACTTAATTCCTGATCTATCTTTCCAAATGCAATATGTATTATACATTTCACGACATTAGGAAGATTGACACAATGTATATAGGCAAGCAAGAGAGCACCAATTGCGTAAGAGAAAAGTCCACCTCCCTTTGAAGTAGAAATTCTTCTATTTTCCAAATCATCTCGATTACCTTTTCTCCACTGTCCAAAACTGAGTGTCCTAGCTTATCTCCCAATGACATTCTTAGTGTGGATAAAGGCAATTGACAAGCCATACAACTTATCATGGTTACCACCACACAAATCTGATCTAGCGCCAGGGCACAGGATTATTCCACAAATGGTTGATTTCTCCAAATTTTGTTTGAACAAAATGGGTTGTTCATGTAGCTCTGACCGTCTACAGAGAATGTGTAGACTAGGATGGTACCATCTAAAAACTGAAGGTGGGGTACAAGGATATTACATCCTTACCCTTCCAATCAGACCTCTAGCTACTCCCAAAATTAATCAACCTAACTTAACATCTCCAACAATAATGAACCAAAAGGAGAGGCTATTATCCTGGCCTCAATCAATGTTTTAGAAGGCTAAGGACAGCCTGGAGGCTTTTGTTTTTTTGAACAAGCGAGATGTAAGCTTCAATACSGTATGGAGGCATAAGCTTCAATTTAAATAAAAAAGGCATTAATAAAAATCATGAAAAATAATCAGATATTACTAAACATAAAGATTACATACAGGTACAAAAGAATTTGTTCCTATCAGTTGTCTTTTTCTTAAACAAAGAATCTACGAAGTCATTCAAAATTTTCTCTTCAATGCCTATTTTTTGTCCTCAATATTAGTGTAATAATGGACTAGATTAAAACACAACCCATGGTGTATTACCATTCCTAACATACAAGAACTTACATATTTTAAGAGCAAGCAACAAATTAATATTACTATTCTAACTATTACATCAGGCGTAAAGGCTCCAAGTCTCATGGATGGAGCCGTAAGCCTCCTATGATCCAAAGATGGTGTTAAGTTTCAAGCTAAAAATTTGAGCCTCACCAAAGTGAGCCTCAGGCCAGAAGCCTCAAAATTGTTTTGGAACATAGGCCTCAATTCCTATGTTGCTGCCACCTTGTTCTCTAGGCCATATGTAAACGGATTTATCAAATCTAGTACTGCCATACTTTTAACTCTGACAGTATAAATAAAGACTTTTCACCAAAAGCTACGTATTCCTAACAATATAGAAGTTGTCCTCTCTCATCTCTAGGTTATTTGTCCTTGCTTAGTTTTTGAAAATTCGAAGGTTTCTTTTCAAGTTATTTAGTTTCTAACCCTTTTGAATCATGGATTTAAGCAGATGTTGTGTTGAAAACAAGTTTTTCTTAGGTCTCTTGAAAAACATGGTTTCTTCTCTGTCAAATCTATGACCCAAAATTCTTGTGGAAATTGTGAAGGCATCAGCAGGCTTTTTGTTAACATGATTGAGCAAGCTAAAATAAGGGTGAAAGTTTTTGTGTGGATTTTCGCTCTAAGCACCCACGACAGAATTCAAGATAGGTTTCCCAACTGGGCATTGTCTCGTGGTTGGTGCGTGAAGAGTCAGCACCTCCTTTTTCATGCCCATTTGCTTTCATGTGCTGGAGTGCTCACCTCAATCTTTTCAAGCTTTCATGGGCTTTCCCCAATTAGGCACAGATGGTTTGCTTCAGCCCTTACATGTGACATTTTTTGTTGGCCAAGCTATCTTGTGGTACATCACTATGGTGGCTCTTCTTTTGAAGATTTCGGATGAGGAATGGGAAGATTTTCCAAGGGAAAAACACACCTATAGATGTCTTTTGGGATACTCTTAAATACCATGCTTCTTCTTCGTGCGCCCTTAACAAAGAGTTCTGAAATTACGGTTTTCCTTAGATTTATGCCAACCGGGAGTCCATTTGTAATCCCCTTGGCTTTACCAGGGATATCTCATCTCATTCTTTTTTATATCCTCTTTTATTAATATAAGTTTTGTTTTATATAAAAATAAAAATAAAAAGTAAAAGAAAAGATTTCCTACAACCGGTTGTCGTTGAATTTGGAAAAAAAAATAGAGGTAAACGTCACTTTCATATCTCTCTTAGGAAGCAACTCAATTTGTTTGAAGAAGCTATTGTTGATTTGAGAAGGCTCATTTTTCGGACAAGGGTGAATTTGATATTTTTTGTCTCTTGAAGAAGCATAATCAACATGGTTGAAGTCTTGAATGTATTATGGTTTCCATTTTCAAAATGAGAGGCAGCATTGTTGTCCCAGGTGGAATCAACAAAAGAGGTTGGTTAGTCTTCTGGAAATAGTAAAAGACACTATAATGAGAATGAATCTATTTTTTCCCTTGTTCAAAGGGAATTTCTTCCATCATTGGCGATGAGCACAACTCTTCGGAAGATTCAAAGGACTTTTTAGATATTATTAATGACCTCTAATGTTTTTGAGAATGCAACAGATTTTTTTTCAGTTAGGGGTTCTGTTTTCAAAGTTCTTTGTGGTGAGGTCGTTGGTGTGGTTTCTCTTGTTAGAATCTTCATGGTCCTCTCTTCCAGATTTTTGTCCTATAGTGGCTTTGGTTCTGTTTTTGGTTTGATAGGGCCTTAGCTTTAGTGGCCCTTTGGTCTTTGCGGTTTCTTATGGGGTAGTTTCTCCCACGGGCTCTTTGAACTACAATAATTTATTTTGGGTTTTGTAATTTTTGTTAGCTTGTTATTTGGAGTTTGTATCCTTGAACTTTTTTCCCTTTTTTTTCATTATCAATGAAAAGACTGTTTCTTATTTAAAAAAAAATAATATAGAAGCTGTCAATTTTCTTTTTCGATTTGCCATCTGGTTTAATCATCCACATTTATCTCTTTCTTGGAAGCCACTAGATAAAAATAGTGAAAGTTTTTATATCCATGGTCGGAAGACCTTTTTTAATCCTAAGCCTGCCACCTTACTGACTCTCCCCTTTGGATCAACTACTATCCATTTTGAACAATTTGACTCTTCAGAATTATCTTTTGGTTCCCTCAACGCACTTTGAGCTGACTCCTATCACCCTTAGGGCAACTTATCTTTTAAGATTTTTCCTTCCTTTCCAAAACATTTTCCTTTTCTTCTCTTTCTATCTTGACTACGTACATATTCTCTTTTTATCATTCCTAATATCTTGATTGCATGGTAATATTTGCTCCTTCTCTTCACCCTTTCCACTTCCATTAAAACATATTCTAGATTTGAAAAAAGAGAACAATAATTTTAGAGCTTCTAGGAATCTAAAGAAGCTTAGAAGTTCTGTTGTACTTGTTCCTGCGGAGGAGCATCAGCTTGATCAGAAAGATAGTCTACATGCTTCTCATTACGCAGTTGATCAGAGGTATCATCATCTTTGCAGTTCATCTCCCCGTTATTTCCCTTCTTCACACGAACTGGAGCAGATTTTGACTGTAAACAATAATGAAATTTTGATTAAAACACATACAAAAAAAAAGGAAAGAAAGAATGAACAAAGCTTCATGATTTAGATTCAGAATTAGTATAAACATTTGGATACATACAGCAGTAAATGCTTAAAAATGTAAATAAAGCACCTTGCCAAAGCGTATAAACTTGTTTGGTGCTACTTTTTAAGTTTGAATAAGAGAGAATATAAATACCCCCATGGCAAACCAATCAGACACAGGAAATGCAGTACATAGTATCTTAAACCATGTAACAGAAGGCAAATCAAATACATGACATGTTACATGAAAAAAATTAGACTAATCTTAGATTATGTACCGTGCACGTAAGCATCAAACGAACCCTAAGTGCATTTCTCCAATTCCCTTCATCATTTAATTCTGCAACCTGTAAATTTAAGGAACTTCTTTTTCATCTGAATTCCATTTACAAAAGTAAAATGAACTCTATTGTAACGTTATTGAATAAAAAGCACTTACAGCCTTCTCAGCCAGCTCAACTGATTCATATTCCACAAATGCATGCAACTGAACCAGAAAGTGTTGACAGTTAAGTTATTCCCTTCTATAAAGAATAAGAAATATTGTTGCAAAGAAATCAAAGAATCTTCCAAGATAAGGAGCGTCCCCCACATCTCTTATTTGATTCCATAGTTTTCTTGGTGATATCTTGGTGTAAATGCTCCCCTACATTTCATCACTATAGTTTCGCCTCTCTCTTATCTAGGAGAGTTTTTTTGTAGCCCAATTTGGGCCCCTTTTGTTGTCATATTTCATATATCAATGAAATAGTTTCTTGTTCTAAAAAAAAAAAGAATAAGAAATATTGTAGTGGATTCAAAATCTCAGATAGTGATATTCAGTAGTAGTTTGAAGGGTTGTTTAAGGCTAAAAAGTTTTTCTACTCACGAACCAGAACTATTTTCCATTTGTAGAGACTAAGGTTGGAGAGAATCCAATGTAATGTATTCTCATTATTAAAGTCTATATATATAGACAAATATACAAGGTTGACCTAATCCTATAAGGAGAAGGTAAATGACAAATTAATATTAATACAAGAATATAAAATATACTAATCTATA